CCATACACGCAATGTGGGAAGAGCGGGTGATATGTTGATATCATCAGCTCTGACTCCAAGTACTAGCCATGCTAATACTACTCCGACTGTTCGTAATCATAAATTCAGAGACGACTTCTAGCCCTTCAACCAAAGGAGTAAAAACCAAACATGCGCTATTAACACCAAGGGATCTGTGCAGCCTAGTGGCGTTTAATTTCTACAGCCTTAGCCAAGAGACCTGCCTTGCTCATACTGTTTCCAACCTAAAAATTAGTGTGTGGCGTGTCTCCAGAAAGCGGATCCGATACCGTAATACGGTGAGGAATCTGAAGGACTACTATTCTATGGTTCCTCCAACAAACCCCATATTTGTAAAAGCAGCAGACAATATCATCGGTAATACTGATATTCATAAAAACGGTTCACTTGATGAGACACATTTCGCTGCACCCCGAGGAACAACGGGGTTAACATTGTGAGCCTTCAAAAACATGATGAAGAGTACACATGCGTGTTCACTTGCTTTTACCTTACCGGTGAACCAGAAGAAAGGACGAAGAAGCTGCAAACCTTCGTAGAACTAGTTTCCGACAAATATTGAGGGACCAGAAAGTGTTTCCCGTTGAGAGGATACTCGCAAAGAAACCTTCCGTCAAAAAGTACAAAGTTGTTTCATCCTAATGTTTAATAATTATTTGGATGGTTGTGGATAGTAGGATATTTCGAAACTTCATGTGGGACTCCGCGCTGCAATTAAAGTCAATCGGTGCCGAACGGTCAAGGAGTACTGTACAGCTGTTTATTCCTCTTAAAATTGTCAGCGGTGCGGATCTTACGAAACGCCATGACGTTTCCAACCGGCGATCTCCAGGCCAGTAGTTCAACACTAAAGCGTTCAAACACGAGTGGCCAATCATATGTCTGATTAACTCGCACCTAAGCGAGATTCTGAAGAAAGAGGAAGCAGCTGTAGAATGCTTATCATCCTTTCGGTACGTTACTTGTAGGATGAAATTTCGCTTGGTCGTTGGATGTTTCTCACAATCGATGAGCAGGACATTAGGTTAAGTCCAAGTTTAATCGGTTTCTTTACCGAAGAACTTCATCCACAATCTTCATGAAAACGCAGCCCACTGAAACAATTCGCATAATCCGGTGGGGCTCCACTTTGCGTATGCTCATCAGAAGCTGACAAGAGTTTCCATTATCGGTATTCAAACCTAGTGTGTACCACGCTCTCATAAATATCTTCAGATAGTGGAGTACACACAAGCTGGACACGAACGCCCCTTCAGTCTGTGTGCCGCCCTGAATATGTGAGCGTCGGGTCAAAACATTCTAAAAAAAGGATATCCCATTTTGAATTCTTTTGTATCATGACTGAATTAGCAAGTTTCCTCCTTACATATCAAGAGTGGACTCCAAGAAGTGTAGTGTTGTGAAAGGAACTCACTGCACACTTTCATCTTCACGTCTGGCAATAGAATCACGTAGCGCATATAGCTGTTCTAACGCATATAACTGGCGGTGATTGAAGCTTGTTCCAGCTGCTTGTCTGTATAGTGACAGATAGCCCAGCGGATCAAATGCAGGTTTGGTGTACCGCTGTCAAGAAAGAGAACAACTGGTTCAAAGAAGATTTGAAGTAAACCCGGATGGTATTTATAGGAATTGTAAAACAAGCAAAACAAAAGTGCTGAATAAGGAACACGAAGTAGTTATGCATTACCCGAAAAACAGGGAATGAAATACTCGAATGACCAGTACTATCGAACTAAAAACAACGCCGAACAATGGCCGTTTCAATAAATCAAGTTATATCACCAGAATGGATAGTGTGTTTTCCTGTGCACGCATTGCCTTTAAGCGGTTGTGGTCACACACTGACCTACTGGGCTGATTGACTCCACTCATAATTCACTGTCCGACCAGGTGGTCCACCAAGGCGCAATGTTGGAAGTCAAGCAAGTCATTATACTGAGGCGACCATTACCGCTGGTGGAGGAAGAGGATTTGAACACATCACGGTATAGAATGAACGCCTGGTTGATCCTGGTTATAACAATCTATGCCCTAGAACACAAATATGCACCACCGTCTTCGCAAACCGCTCGTGAAAGATTGGTAAAACTCGCAGATTTCAGTCGAAGTTTAGCGGGTCGAATGTGAGATAGGTAGAGGGGCTGTTGAAAATATTCCGTCTGGCGGTTAAGACGCTGGTTCGTGTTGCGTACAAAGTGCCCGATATTATTTCTGACGACCACACTAAAAACCGGTCTCTAAGGTCTACTTCTGCAGTTTTCACATATGCCTACCTGCATTAGCCTGCTACAATTCCAGGTTTCTGGGCCCCAGCTAATTTCAGATTACGCCTGAACCGATACCTGACAGACCTAGGAGATGAATCATGCGTACTATGTGACAGGATAAAACTTCCTTCTTTGGAAGATAGTGAAAGTTCTGGATCTCAGTGTCTATTGGGTGGGCACTCTGAATTACCTATCGCAAGTATGGCTGTGGCTATTCCGTCTCAGTCATAAATGATGTTTGCAGAGGATATAGCTCTTAAGGTTCCTAATAAGCTGTTTTGAAAAGCTTGTTCAACATACGAGTCAAAGACTTTTTCGCAGATACCACAGCCGCTCGTGTCTTATGTGCTCATGGAAATTTGTTGAAAGATTACGCTAGACTAGTGGATTAAAATAAACTATGTTACTGCCCAGTAAGCCAGTCAATGAGAAGCCGGGTCTCGCCATTGGTAGCTGATGGCTCCACGCGTGCTAATAGATGGGTAGAAGTAAGCGGTGATTGGGTGGAATCATTCTGGGTTTTTAGACCATGTCAGAACAATTCAGATATGTTCAGTTAGTCAACTATAGGCCATTCAGCAAAGCACGTTAGTTCCATGCTTCCTATAGGAGAAAACACCAACCACCTCTTGTAGTAGCACTTTACACTGCAAGTGTGAAGCGCATACCAAACTATGCAGAAGAAT